AGTAGCAATTGAGCATCGTGTCAATGCCACAGCCTACCTGAGTATTGTTACTGACCATGTCCATCCCTTTATGACCACAGTGCCCATCTTCTGATGCCGACTTTCAGCAGGATAACGCACCAATCTGGTGCTAGTAAGGTGTAACTAATAAAGTGGCTGGCGAATGCAGATCTCTAACCTCAGAACAGTTTTATTTCTGATCAAAAAAGTCAGAATGTGTGTCTATCATCACTAAAAACAGGACATCATCTGAAACTGTAAATATTTCACTTTTGTTTTATTAAACATTGTGCATTTGTTAAAAAGAGAGAACACATAGGATGTGCTTTTTTTTAGCTGTTTATAGGTTTCTTTGAACTTACAATACATTTGGTATTGTTAATGTATTAATTAGGCTATTTCAGTGAAACTATTTTGCTGTAGCCCTATTTGTTTTAGAGGGGGATTTGTGGTATTTTTAATGGTCATTAAATTTAACTGAATAATTTTTTTTCCGGTTAATGGTTAATAATCAGTTAACGAGAGTCAACTTATCGTAAAAGAAAATTACCAAATTGAACAAACTCTTACATTTTAGGGTGCCCCCCGCCAGTGTACCCATCTGCTATATTCACTCCAAGCTGTGAGACATAATGATGCTCATAAATGAAAATAATGGCATGATGCAAATAAATACTGTATGTTAAACCAATATCAAACCATTATCATTTTAATAGTAAGTTATAAAATATTTGTAAAAAAAAATATTAGTATTATTATTATAATACTTAATTTTATTGTTGAATTGACTGTTGAATGGTTAGGTTTGGCTTACGTTTTGAATTGGGATGCATGCTTTCACACTACCCTGCTGGCAATAATTGAGGATTAGAGGCAGAGAGACAAAAACTGGCATTAATGACAGAAAATAAGTGTCTGAGAAACACATGCTTTCTTGTCCAGACATTAGACATTTATGGCATATCCTTATTGTGGACAATTCAAAGGTTTCCTAAATGTGAGCAAAACATTTACAGCTTCATGGCCATGATTTTTACAACTGTTCATGGCCAGAAGGGAGTAAATAATTCACTTTGGTGCACTTTTATAAATTCCACTTGTAATGTTAAAACATAAATTCTAATTGCCAACCTATTTTACTTCAGTAATGTGCTGTAAACACTGTAAAAACCCAAGAATGGGCTTTTAAGTTGTTTAAAAGAAACCTTTAAGAATATTTGATGTTCATCCCGTTAAATGCATTGACATGTTAGAAACATAGACTGTAAAATAAAAAAATAAAAAACACAGGGAATCTGTGGGTGGGCTCGTCTATTTCAGCCTAAAGCAGATGGAATCAGCTCACTCGTGTTTATCGCACACCATCGGTTCACATTGAATCTATTTGTAACATCTGGGCCCTTTTCTTTTGGAAGAATCTATGGAAAATAGCGTTTACCAGTACATTATTTTGTTACGACCATTTGCAAGTAAGTCACAAGTGAGAAGTTGCTTTAAACGGGACTGTAAATGCGTCAAAGCAAACAGGTTTCCTAATGACTGAGTGTAATTTAAGGATTAACTCTGAAAAAAGGTAATTACAGCGTCATCTGCTGGTCAACATGATCCTCCCCGCTTTAAACACGTCTTGAGTTAAATATGGTACACTTGTAGCGGCAGAAAGTGTTCAAGGAAATGGCTGACGGCAGACAGAGATAGAGAGAAAAACATGCATGCGATGCAATAGTCATTTCAAATAACATCCAAATGTGATGTGGTGTTCAGATGATCTTAAAAGAATCAAATTTGCCCTAAGAGAAAAAACGAAGTAAAATCAATCTGCTTATTGTTTTCTGTCATTGATTTTGTCATATGCTAAACAAAAACAAGTTCTTTCGTTTGATAGGGAAGAAAGCGCGTTGTTTCGTAGCTTTCTATTAAAAATGTAATAGGATTTAAAAACAGCTATCTTCTGCCTGGCCTCGATATTTAATGGGAATCAGACCAAACTAAGCACTTCATTAAATTCTATTTTTCCCCGCCATGTTTTTAAAATATGTAAATAATTGTACCTCGGTATTTTCAATGGCGTTTCTGCGCTAGCCTGCTGCTAATGACGGTGCTAGTGTTTACATCAGGGGTCACCAACCTTTTGAAAACGGAGAGCTACTTCTTGGCTACCAATTAATGTGAAGGGCTACCGGTTATTAAATAACACATTTTTTTCAATTTACTTTTAATTATATGTTATTATTAAAAATATTCATCTGTGTGAAGACATTGTTCATGTGAATGATTTCTCACAGTAGTTGTCAACAATGATTTAACAAGGTAGCCTAGATAAATATCAATATGCGAAACTTAATTTGTCTGAAATAGTTTTTAAAGTTTTTTCATTATATAACTTAATGTAATTTTTCAAATTTACACCATGCAAGTGTGATTAAAAAAGAATACCTATAAAAATATTAGATGTATGTGGTGGCCCGTGGGCAACTCATGTGAACCTGGCAGGCTACCTTGTGCCAACAGGCACCATGTTGGTGACCCCTGGTTTACATGGTGTTTCGTATCTTTTTACGCTTTAACAACTAAATGAATGCTTGTGTCTATTTAACTGTATTATATTTGATTATATTTGAATTACATTACAACATTGATGCTGTAAAACAAACTTATGAAATTGAAAATAGTCACATAAAGCTCTCACCAGACGTTCATCATTGGCTGAAAAACAGCTGTGCATATACAGTTGCCCATTGAATATCCCTGAGGAGAACAAGTTAATAGTCTACAAAATAAGTAATGGGCTATAATTTAAAATAACTTATATATTTTACTAATGTATTTTTTTTATTTTAGGTGACATGGTGGCTCCTGTCACCTCACAGTAAGGTCAAGTTTGCATGTTCTCCCCATGTTGGCATGAATTTCCAAACCGGGTGCTCCGGTTTCCCTCACAGTCCAATGCGCTATAGGTTAATTGAATAAAATAAATTTGCCAAACTGTATGTGTGTGAATGAGTGTGCATGGGTGTTTTCCAGTACTGGTTTGCAGCTGGAAATGCATCCACTGTGTAAAACAAATGCTGGATAAGTTGGCGGTTCATTCTGCTGTGGTGACCCCTGATGAATAAAGGGACTATGCTGAAGGAAAATTAATGGATGAATTTTAATTTTACTCCACTGATGTCAGTCAGTAAAAACATAAACAAATAAAATATACCGTTGTAGTGTACAACTGTTTTATTTGAGAAAAGCTTGAACATTGTGTTGTTAAATGCACTTTATGTTTACCAAAATGGAAAATGTTTTCATTCTTTTTTTAATATCAATAAGTTGGTGTTGCCCTGCGAAATTAAAGCAGGTATGCCTTTTTTTGTCTATACAGTGCATCCGGAAAGTATTCATAGCGCTTCACTTTTTCCACATGTTTTTATGTAACAGCCTTATTCCAAAATGGATTAAATTCATTTATTTCCTTACAATTCTACACACCATACCCCATAATAACAATGTGAGAAAGGAGTTTTTTTTAATTGGTGCAAATTTATTAAAAATAAAAAACCTTAAACATCACATATCTCACAAGTCAAAAAATCTCAATACGTTGTTGATGCAACTTTGGCAGCAATTACAGCCTCAAGTCTTTTTGAATATGATGCCACAAGCTTGGTACACCTGTCATTGGGAATTTTTACCCATTCCTCTTTGCAGTACCTCTCAAGCTCTATCAGGCTGGATGGGAAGTGACAGTGTACAGCCTTTTTCACATCTCTCCACAGATGTTCAATAGGATTTAGGTCTGGGCTCTGGCTGGGCCACTCAAGGGCATTCACCGAGTTATTGTGAAGCCACTCTATTGATATTTTGGCGTTGTGCTTTGGGTCATCGTCCTGCTGGAAGATGAGAAGTCGCAACAGTCTGAGGTCAAGAGCACTCTGAAGCAGGTTTTCATTTACGATGTCTCTGCGTTCTTCTGTGGAAAGAGGAGAACCTTACAGAAGGACAACCATCTGTGCAGAAATCCACCAATCAGGCCTAGAGTGACCAGACGAAAGCCAATCCCCGCCTGGAATTTGCCAAAAGACATCTGAAGAACTCTCAGACCATAAGAAACAAAATTCTCTGGTTTAATCAGAGTAAAATTGAACTCTTTGGAGTGAATGCCAGGCGTTTCGTCTGGAGAAAAACAGGCACCACTTATTACCAGGCTAATACCAGTGAAGCATGGTGGTGGCAGCATCATGCTGTAGGGATGTTTTTCAGCAGCAGGAACTGGAAGACTAGTCAGGATAGAGGGACATATGAATGCAGCAACCCTAAAACCAGACTTAAATCCTATTTAACATCTTTGGAGAGATCTGAAAATGGCTGTACACCATCACTTCCCATCCAACCTGATTAAGCTTAAGAGGTACTACAAAGAGGAATGGGCAAAAATTCCCAAAGACAGGTGTGCCAAGCTTGTGGCATCATATTCAAAAAGACTTGAGGCTGGCTGAAATTAAAAGTCTATGTGCATATACCTCATAGTTAGTACATGGAACATGTGCATCAATGACACCTTGTCAATGACACAAAGTATTACCAAAATTTGTTTAATAGTTCTTGTGCTAAAATGTATAGAGATTACGACATATTTAATACAATAATGTCTTTAACTATTTTAAAACATATATGAAAATGTTTAGTACAAAAAAAGTTTAGCAAATCTTAGTTTAATGAATCAGCTAAAGATGTAGGCTATGATTAGATTAAGAATGTTTTGTTTTCAGCCTATAATCACTTCCAGTGGTTTAGGTTTAAAACAAGTTAGCAATAAAGTAATCGCAGTATACAACTTCAAATGAGTAATTGACCCTACTGAAAATAAAACGATGCCCTTATAATAGTTTTAAAGTTTATGATTGTATTTGTTTAGATGGAAAGTGTATAATGGTCCCAGTGGGTCTCTTCTGGTAATTTGTTTCCTTTTATTGGCATCATGTGGTGTCCCAAAACACACTACAAACCATTAAAATGAGCTTTTTAAAATGGTTAACAGTTGTTTGTAATGTTTTTAATGGTATTAGTAGTGGAAACCATTAGCCCTTTGAGGCTGCTATCAGCGGGGAAGATTACATCGCTACCTACATCACATTTTCATCATGTAATCGTTAACGGACTACAATTTGTTGCCACTATACCACCTTCCTCATACACTTATTTATCCCTCACCCTTTCCCATCTTCTCTCTCCCTCTGTTCGCTCAAGATCCGCCCCTGCCCAATTTTATCATTTCGCCCCCTTTCTGAATTTCCTGACTACAAAAAGTCTGTCAGACGTCTGTGTGAGTCTCAGCAGGGGAACGGGGAATATCTCCAGCCAGCTTCACAAAGGGAAAACTGGGGGCCTCAGTACTCACAAGGACAGGTCAGTTTGTAAATTCCCAACAGCGACTACTGAAGATTACCATGGGTAGTTTCGGTTTTGAATGCACCGTGAAAGAGGATATAAAGAAAAGACGAGGTTGTCAGAAAAAGGAGGGTGAGCATGGTGAGAAATGACAAAAATTGTGATCAAATGCCACTAGATACTGTAAACTGTTGCTTTCTCTGTTTTGGGAAAATGTTCTTGTTGGATTGTTGTTTTCTTGATACTTGCTAGTTGGTACACAACTACTAGGCTACTAGAAAAAGTGGAAATTTTAATCAATAAATAAAAGATTACTCTTTTGCTGGCCAGAGAATCAAGCTGAACTGATCTTATATTACAATGCTCTTACAGTCTACGGCTTGCTTTATTTTTTGTATGATAGCATAAGTTAATATTTAATGCTATATACAGTGCTCAACATATATGAGTACACCCCTCACAGATCTCTCTTTTAAATTCATATTTTAATAGAAAGCTACACAATATTATATTTGTGCATATACATTAGATTAGTCAGTACTGAAGCCAAATCTAGAACTTATCTAGCAAAATAGCTTACAATAACGGTCCAAAAACTAGCACACCCAAATTTAAGATATGGAAAAATTTTAAATACAAACTTTAAAAATCAAAAGAAGCAAAAAAAAACTTTTTAATTTAATGAAAAATGTGTATGCTGTATTTTTGTTGTTGTTGTTTTTGCAATATTTTGCTTGAATTTAATTGTTTTATCTTTCCATTTCTAAATATGTTTGGTGACTAAATTATGTAATAAATATATCTGTTTAATGAATCTCTTTTGTTTAAATGCACCAAAATACATTGCCTATGAGAAATGGAATCAAATATTTTATATTTTCAAAACGGGCTGTATTCAATTACTGAGCACTGTATATATGCTTTTACACAACTATTTCTGACCTTGGACCACAAAACCAATTTTTTGTACATTTTGAAATTATATACACATCTAAAAGCTGAATAAATGTATTTTTCATTGATGTTTGTGAGGAAAATATTTGGCTGACTATTGGAAAATCTGGTATTTGAGGGTTTAAAGAATCGAAATATCTAAAAAATATCCCTTAAAACTGTCTAAATGAAGTGCTTTGTGATATATATTATCAATCAAAACAATTGAGATCTGTTCATAGTAGGAAATGCGAAGAATCTGTATGGAGCTTTAATTTAATATTCTAATGATTTTTAAAGAAAGAAAGAGTGATCATTTTGACTCTTACATGTATTTCAGGGTTTCTGGTTTCAAGTTTAAGACCTTTTAAGGCATTTTTAAGACCATTATGAATAAAATTTTAGACCCATACAGGGCTAAACGCTAAGGAGTTTTCGAATGCGGCACAAGTGGAAAATATTTTTATTTGCCCTATCAACATAATTATTACATTTAGGTGACACGGTGGCTCAGTGGTTAGCAGTGTCCCCTCACAGCAAGAGGGTCGCTGGTTTGAGCCCCAGCTGATACAGTTGGCAATTCTGTTTGCATATTATTACTCTCTGTGTGAGTTTCCTCTGGGTGCTCCGGTTTCCCCCACAGCCCAAACACATGCGCTATAGGTGAATTGAATAAACTACATTGGCCGTGTAGTGTCTGAGTGTGAATGAGTGTGTATGGATGTTTCTCAGTGTTGAGTAGAAGTTGGAAGGGCATCGGCTGTGTAAAAGATATGCTGGATGAATTACTGGTTAAATCAGCTGTGGTGACCCCTGATGAATAAAGGGATCAAGCTGATGGAAAGAAGGAAATACATTTTATAATATAATAAATATAAATTTTTGATATTTCTTAGCAAAATATTTTAAATATTGTGTGAAAACAAGCAGGTCTAATTGTAAACATATATTTTTTTCAACATAAACTTTCTTTAAAATAAAAAAAAGATCAATCTTTAAAAAACTATCATCATTTCCAAGATCCTGACATTTTGTGCAAGAAAATGTATTCTCCTGAACTGGATAATGGATAAAACTCCTACAAAGCCTTTATGGCACAGGGTAATACTTGAATATGTACCACTGGACTACTTAACTTGTGTCTTTCATGGCAAAGATGTTTTATTTCATGAGAGGGGGGATCCATTTTTGTTACATATGGGTTTAAACATAACCTCCATGCTCATCAGAGGGTTGATTTAATAAGGTCAGATCTTGTGACGGTTTGTGGTGCATGAATATGCAATATCTCAAATTAAATTGATGCCCTTTTTTAACAATATATTTTTTCTTTCTCTCGCATGTTCTGTTCACTTGTTTGTTGTTGTATCTGTATTGTCTAAAAATTTCATAAATACATTTTTAAAACAACAAACTAAACTATAATTGTTTTTAAACTGTTTTTATTAGTTTTTGATAAACATAGTATACACATAACATTTACTTAGAATGTTTAAATTCACAAATAAACATTAATAATAGATCAATTATAATTATAAATAAATATTAGTGATAGCTTAAAAAGATAATACATTACATGAAAAAGGAAAAAGAAAAGTAGGTAATTAAATAAATAAAATACAATATAAAGACAATAACTACTACAACGACCCTGACAACATTTCAAGGATCAAGTAAATATTTCGATTAGTGCCCAGGTCTGTTGGAAAATGCCTGATTTTAAATCTGCAGTCATTTTTTCAAACATATACAGTTGAAGTCAGAATTATCAGTCCCGCTGATAATTTTTAAAATATTTCCCAAATGATGTTTAACAGATTCAGGAAATTTTCACAGTATGTCTGATAATATTTATTTTTTTCGGAGAAAGTCTTCTTTGTTTTATTTCGGCTAGAATAAAAGCAGTTGTTAATTTTTTAAACACCATTTTAAGGACAATATTATCAGCCTCTTTTAGCTACATTTTTTTTTTCTATAGTCTACAGAACAAACCATCATTATACAGTAACTTGCCTAATTCCCCTAACCTGCCTAGTTAATCTAATTAACCTAGTTTAGCCTTTAAATGTCACTTTAAGCTGTATAGAAGTGTCTTGAAAAATATCTAGTCAAATATTATTTACTGTCATCATGGCAAAGACAAAATAAATCAGTTATTAGAAATGAGTTATGTTTATGTAAACTATGTTTAGAGATGTGTTAAAAAAATCGCTCTTTTAAACAGAAATTGCGGGAAAAAAAAATAAACAGGGGGCTAATATTTATGACTTTAACTGTATATATCTGATTCAGCCTCTGTGTCAATTCTGTCAAAGTATTTCATCATCCAGTTCACTGTAATTATTTTCAAAGCTGTTGATAATAATATATGTAGTGCAAATAGGTGAGACTAACTGAATTATTCAGGGGGGAAGCCATCAAGTAAAAAAATACTGGGTTCATCGGCATGTCATATCCTAAATCTTTGCTAATCTCCCTTTTAACATCCTGCCAAAACATTTGTATTTAAGGACTAAAAACTATAATAGACATAAAGTATGCACATCTGTCTGTCCAGGTCAGCATCCTCAGCAGTAAATACATGGGGAACTTTTTAAAAATGTTATTATAAAGAAAATAATTAAACTATTATGAGTAAATAGAGTTACAAATGACTTTTTTGTAAAAAGTTAAAAGTTTTACTGAAGTGGATTTTTGGTTGTTTTGGACTGTTGATGGCCAGATTGTGTAGCCATACACAAACAAAGACAAGTTAAAACCTTTTTAAAAACAGATACAACACAACATTTTAGTAGATTTAAGACTTTTTAAAGCTCAAAGTTCTGTTTTTAAGATTTAAGACATTTGAAGACTTCAATAGCCTGCATTTGTTTTGTGGTCCAGGGTCACACTTGAACCGTTGTGAATAAACCCACTAATTTTAATGCTTTGGATGTGTTTTTGTTTTTCTTTTGGGAGTTGCTAGAAAGCAGTTTTGTAGGACAACCTTGCGTGACAATATCAGCAGATCTGCACTTTTTGTGTGATGTTTGTGTTTTGCGCAGGGTGAAGTGTTAATATGAGTCCGTCATTGTGGCTGTGCTGTGTGCTGCTCTGTTTAGTCTGCTGTGTCACGGTGCACACACACATGCCAATGGAGGAACAGCACAGCTCCAACCAAAGCAACAGCAACTTACTAGCAAACAACCAAACAGATGCACCTCCTGTGCTCATAATCGGTAAGAGTTTTCCCTCTCACAGACAAACATACACAAAACAAACACTGTAAAAATGCTGGATTCCACACAATCGATTTGTGTTTGGGCAACATGAAGGAATTACGTTAAGTTATTAGTTTTTACAAATTTAAGTGGATTGAACATAAAACAGTTAACCTGTCCTCCCTAAAACATGACAAATTGTGTGGTTTCAGCCCAGTTAAAATATGTAGTTTGAACAAAGAGCCAATCTATTTTTCTTGAGTGAATGATCGTCACTATCAAGTATACTATAAATAAATGGTTTACAGCGTTACATGATTATACAACATTATTCAGATCGTTTTTATGTTGCTATTATAAAAAAAACTGATCAATGTTCAAACTTGTTTGTATTTTTCCATCATCGAAGGGCTTTCAAAAACACCCAAGAAGAGCAAGAAATCAGAAAAGAAGCCAAAAAAGGTTTGTAAACTTTGAATATTCTGTATGGTTCACTCATTTGTGGAAAATATTTTTATCCAAGATGGATATAATGATGAAACAAATGCTAGTTTTTCAATCGATTTAGCTCATGGGAATGTTAAATGAGTTTAAAATTATAATCTACAGCGTTGAATCTCTGCATGTCAAAATGTATTTTATTTATGGGTCAGTTTTGATAAATGTCTTTATTAAATGTGAGTTTAGCAGCATTTAGCAGCAATTATTGTGTTAAACATTTTTGGGAGAAAGCAAAGTCGGCTTGTTTGTTTTGGTATGGATAATTTCGTTGCATTTAGTACAAAAAAAATGTATTCTTATTTTAAATATTTTAATTTTTCTTTTACATGTATGTCTCTGACATTTTAAATATGCTAGCTTTGAATAAAAATGTATTTATAGGCATCTTTGTTGGTCAGGGTGGATAATATTCTTTACCTAGCATGCTTTTTAATATGTATTATTATACGTTTTTCACTACAATATTACACTGATGGTTTATGTATATTTGATGTGTGTATATTTACATACACATACACATACAGTGTTCAGCATAATTGAGTACACCCCATTTGGAAAATGAATATTTTTATCCATTTTTCAGTAAATATAGGCAATGTATTTTGGGGCATATGAACAAAACAGATTTATTAAACTAATATATTTATTAAAATAATATTTTAGTCACCAAACATATTTAGAAATAGAAAGACAAAATTAAATTCAAGCAAAATACAAAATGAAAAAAATTACAACCTACAAATTTTCAACGAAATTTGTCCTTTTTTTTTTTTGGTTCCCTTTATTTTTTCCCTCTTTTTAAAAACTTGTATTTAATACTATAACATATAAATTTTGATGTACTCATTTTTGGACCGTTATTGTAAGCTATTTTGTTAGATAGGCTCCAGATTTGGCTTAGTACTGACTAATTTGCATTAATATAATATTGTAGAGCTTCCTATTTAAAATATCAGTTTAAAAGATAGATTTGTGAGGGGTGCACTTATATATGCTGAGCACTGTATATACGAAAAAAAATTAGAGAGCACATGACTGTTCTCAGATTCTCTAGATTTACAAATTAAATAAATAAATGTTTGAGCAAAATGTCTTTTTTATTCTGTAATCTACCAATGAACTTTCTTGCAAATTTCTAATAAAAATGTTGTAATTTAGAACATTTTATTTGCATAAAGTATCAAAAAACGTGCCTTGTAACAATGCAATACCAAAATTTTAATTCAGTGGGAGTTAAATGATATTTTTAATATTTCAGTATTTTTAGTAATTCCCTAATATTCGATATTTTTCTCTAATATTTCTATCAATATTTTGATTTTATTTTGACATGAAAGCTAAATTAATAGATCTTTTATTCATGTATAGTCTGTTAGAATAAGACAATATTTAGCTAAGATGATCTGAGTGTTCAAAGAAAAAACAAATAATAAGAAAATCAACTTTAAATATGTCATTAAGTTCTTAGTAATGCATTTTACAATTCAGAAAACAGTTTTTATATTGATTTACAATCGGAAATATACAAAATATATTCGTGAAAGATGATCTACTTAAAAAATTATATTGTGCGTTTTTTTCCGCCAAGAAAAGCCAATAGGCTAATTTTGACCGATACGATAGCCTATTTTCGGTTAGTACCAAATATATACCCGTGCAACATAAGACATTGTTTTTGTGGTCCAAGGTCACAGATATATGCTACTATATTTAACTACAAAGCTAAAATATGGCGTGTATCCTCTACATCATTATTAGCCTAAACAGTATTAATATGCATTATTAAAATCAAATGCAAAGTCGTAAATAGCTGGTGTCTATAGCAGCACAAATGCACAACTGTGTTTCAGAAATTCCCCAATAAAGTGAAGAGAGCTGCAATTATTAATTAAATAACAATTAATTCGATTTAATTTAAGCATTTTCAGTGTTTGTTTTTGAGTAGGCTACTTCCCATGCCTTGAATCCATATGTCTGAAATTAAATAGACTATTAAGAAGTGTGGAACTCTGAAATTAGCATTTTAGTATTCAGAAATTAGAGTTTGATTTACAGTAAATGATCATACTTTTCGAATGATTTCTGAAATTAAAGAAAAATCTACAATTTTGACCCATATATTTTCGGTTATCACCACCAATCACAATTAGCAGGCCTATTATATTTTTAACAACAAAGTTGAAGCCTACCGCAGGTATATGGTACATTATTATCATTATTAATATGCACAATTAAATTCAATTGCAAAGACGTGAATTGCTGGTGTCTAATATAAACGCACACTTGTCATTTGTGTGTTTCAGAAATTCCCCAATAAAGTGAAGAGACCCCCGCCTCCGCCGAACTGTGTGCCCCTGTGGGCGAGCTGCAAGAGCCCGAACGCGGTGTGCTGCGATCAGTGCGCTTTCTGCCACTGCCGCCTGCTCAAAACAGTCTGCTACTGCCGCATGGGATACCCCAAATGCTGAGGAGGACCACCAGACTCACCCCATCCTGTTTATGGAGCCCTGCGGGATTATGACCGGCGATAATCTCTCGCACTGCATCATTATTTTTATAACCGCGGTCAGATTTTCTCGGAGTTTTTCCTGACCAGATAAACCTGAGGCGCACGGCGGGAAAACACATGCAGACACCTGGGTACTTAAAATCACCTTATGATTATTACTTATATTATGGGTAATATTATAGGAAGAATATTCTTGTTTATACGGTGACTTTTTTTGGTTGTATGCACTTTATGGAGATAAGTTAAAAGCATTTGCTCTCCTGTTTGAGCTGCTATACACGAGAGTAGAGAGCTGTGTGTGTGTATAAATCACAGTGACGACGACAATTGCCGCCAAAAAGTTGTTTACTAAAATATATCCGCCATCACACTAAAAATGTAAATAGATCGAATTAAACACACATAAAGATAAAAAAAAGTTAGAAATTGAAGAAATAGCAAAATATGTGTCAATGTGATGTGGTGACCGACGGGTTTGGTTGTAATGGGCATTCTTATTTTAAGATTTATGAGGTATATTTTTGTTGAAAGACGAATTATATTGATCTACTAGGCTTGTGATTGAGTTACATGTTAATATTTGTTTTATTCTATAAATGTCTAAGAGGATTTCTTTCAAATGTCATATATGAATATATTGCTAGAAGTACAATTGGTCTAAATAACACGTGTTTTTCAATGGTTGTGATTAAAAATCAGTATTATCCCACTACATATTGATTCCTTAACTTTTCTGACGTCAAAACGTTGGTATTGTGATGTCTGTAAATATAAACACATGGCACCTTTATTGTTATTTTGACCAATTGTCCTTTTTTATTTTAGATTTAAAAGAAGAGCAAAACCAAAATCAGATTTACTTTAACTGTAAATTGTAAATGCAACGAAACAGACTTTCCAAGTGGTCTCTTGCTCTGTCTTTTTATTTACCTACATAGCTGCAGTTCTTGGGTCAGTTTTAAAGATTCAAGTTGCAATGTCTATATCATAAATGATTTTGGACCAATTTATTATATTCAATTCATACCCAGTTATAAACTAGGGGAAACATTGCAGAATTTTATTGTGCAGATTCATAAATAACTTTATAAATTAAAATAATAAAGACTGAAACATGTCATTTGTCTATGCATCTTATGACAAAAGTTGCCTCTTGTTTTTTTCCCTTGTAGTTTGGCGTATTCAACCCAAATTATTCCTATTCAAGATTTAAACTAACACACACACACACACACACACACACACACACACACACACACACACGCTACAGATACATTTTTGTACATTACATTTCGTCACTTAAACAGTAATGCAACAAAATGGAGAATAAATCAAATGAGTTTAAAGCTACAAAGGTTAGACGTGAAAGGTTTTTCTCGAGATGCCAGTGAGTGATTCTCAAGCATATGGTGTGTAATGACAGGTTTAAGGCAGGCCATTGTAAAGTCCATGCATGGAATCAGTAAAACATTACGTTACGCCACATGACAGAAAGCAGACTTTGAGATAAGATGACAAATTTTGTACATTTTAATGTAATTTTTACCTCAAAATTTGCGAAACAACAACAAAATTTACTGTGGAGTATATGAAACAAGATATTGCCAAATATTTTTTACATTTTTCTTTAAATTTAACTTTATTGAACACAAATTCTTAACTTTAAATCTAGAAGTGATTTATAAAAACAAGACTTTATTTAGGGAGCTATGTTATGCATTAGGTTATTTATGCAGTAAAGTACGCACAATTAAAGGCAATTTAACCCCTAGAGTAAATTCCTGCTTTTAATTAATATCTAAATGTATAATTACACAGTGAGAAGAGTACCGCGACCCAAAATATTTCATTTTCAAATAGAACACTCCTTTAATAGGGGTCATAAAATATGCGCACAAACAAACAGCTATCAAAATGCGGTTTAATCCATGCAAATATCTTAACACCTTGCTTTCGGGACACAACTGCTTATGAAAGGAGCGAGATCAAAGAGTAATTCCCAACACCTCAAATAATTATCAGTCCAACAGGTAATAAAACACACTTTCAAACAAACACACACTCGGGGTGACACTAAAGGCTCCAGACGCCACAGCTGGTTCACATTGAAAGCAAGAATTGGCCCAGAGTGGAAGAGGGAGAAAGAAAAAAAACTCAAAAAAAAAAAAAAAAAGATAGGCCCTTGTTATGTCTCTCAGGGGACACCTTCCAGGCATTTTATGGGTCCAGGACATCTAATGGCCTAGTTTATTCCTTTACCAAACAAGCGCTAACTACAACATTTTACAATTTCCAGCTAATAAGGGCCAAATTAGATTGAAGCCATGTGTCTGTATGGAAGCTTGAATTAGTGAGGCATTGCTTATCTACTGAATCAACCATCGTAGGTTCATTAGATACTCAATGAGAGCAGATAGTGATTTTATAGGACAGCAGTTCTGCTCTTTTTCAGATGCTTTAGTGTCAGCGATTGAAACGATGTGGCATGTGAGATTTCTCTGTAACAAATTGCTCAGTCAACGTGAAACGGTGATGTTTTTAATCAAGGAACTGTTTCAAGTACGCTTTGTGTTTTTGGCTTGACATTGAGACCATTTATGGGAAAAGACATAACTCAAATATTGTGAATCAGGTCTAGAAACTGCTTCACAATTATTTAAAGGTGCAGTAGGTGATTGTCTTCAGAAACATTGTTTGTTGTGCTGGTTGAAAGTCTCTTCACATTCCAACATTAACGATTAAAGTAAATGATCTAAATCCATTTAACATGTGTTTTTATATTCTGGGTGACGCATGAAACTAAAAAAAAGGTCTTCAAATTAAATACTGTCAAGCCAACCTGATCTGACGAGAAAACGTAAGTATTTTATGTTTTGTCAGTTTAGTGGCTAATTCGTACGAATTCGTACGAGTTCAGTCGTACGAAATAGTACGATTTTAAAAAGGAGGCGTGGCACCTGACCCCACCCATCATTGGGGGATAAGCAAATCGTACTAAATTGTACGAATTAGATCGTACGAATTCATACGAATTAGCCACTAAATGAAAAAGTTACGAATTGCCGTGAGATTGTGTTGGTCAAGCCTACAATTTTCATAACTCTGATAAGTAGTCCAAACTGTCAACAAATGTAGATTTGTACATCTGCGCATGAGAGAGTGACAGCGGTAAAATCAAATCTGAATCAATAACGGAGTTTCTTTTGCTGGAGGAAGGACGACACCATGGCTGAAGTATTACTTTTAGACAGGTAATGTTCTGTTTTAAAACTATTTTAGTCACGCAAAGCTGATGTAGATTGTGTTGTTATACGAATGGCCTATTTGCAAATGTTGTTCAGCCACTGAAATCTTTCTGCAAAAGATTGATGTGACTATTTTCAGTTTTATAAGGGAGATTTTACAGCATTGATAATGTAGATTTTTAATTAGTTTAACACCAAAACATCAGTAAATAGCGCTATTCCACCTAGCCTGCTTTACTGAGGTTAAGTTGCTTTTATATGCACATTGGTTCATTTTTGAACAACGACAACCTGAGACACGCCCCCTATAATGTTTGCCATGCTACTCTGAATATTCGGTCTGAAACAGCAGGTTAGCATGGCTAAGTGTTAATTCCTCTGCCCCGCTGGCCAAACACTGCATAGTCGCTTTGGGAACTGTAGTATTGCAAAGAACCTCAAATTTTCTACCTGGCGACTGACATGATCTAGTGGGTTACCTGCTGTCATCTTTAACCCTTTAACTACCCCACCAAGAAAAAAAATTGGATTGCATTTAACTCCTAATGTCGCTAGCTAACACAATGCATTTTTTTTTCTAAAACATTCCATGATTTTAAACAAAAGAAGATGCAGCGTAACATCAAATACTCTTAGGTTATCTCAGACTTGCACCCAGATGCTACTATCCTCCACCATGGTGACACAAAAAACATTTTACAGTATTTTGCTGTTTTTCTTCTTGATTTTACGGTAAAATACCGGCAGCTGTGTTTGCCAGTAATCTACTGTTTGTAACATTTGTAAATTCAGTTTACAGAATATTTGTTAAAAATACATTCCACAGTCTGTATTTTTCATCGAACACATTTAACCCCTCAAATCCCAGAGTAAAATCCTCACTAGTGTCCTCACTACAGAGGGTTGAACACTCAGACAGCAATGAAGTTGAGATAATTATGTGTCTAATTGAAGGAGGATTGAGAATTATTGATGAACAACTGTTAACAGCAGAATCACTGAAGAAAAGAAAAACATAAAAAAACACACAGCCAAACCAAAGATGAAATCAACTGAGAATAAAGCTCTGAATAAAATAATAATTAATACAAATAAAACAAATTACACAATAAAAATGTAATTCCTCAAGATCTCAGCAGAGATCATTAAACAACTCCACAATCATCAGGGGCCTCATGTATCAATGCTGCGCTCGCACAAAAACTTTGCGTACGCCAGGTTTCACGCTCACGTTTGGATTTATTAACGATGAAATGAACGTGAGAATGTGCGTTGGTCCACACTAACTTCATGTCTGGTGTACGTGCAATTCTTGTGTGTTTGTTTTATTTCCATAGGCGACTCCTAGAGGCAATTGTGTTAAATTGCACACTACAAAGTATATTTGAGCCATGCAATGGCAGCTGTATATATCCAGCTGCAGGCCCGCAGAACCACACACGCTTTAGGCACACACAATCTAGGACACACAATCTAGGCAAACCATATATGGTAATGACGGATGTTAATGTTATTAACGTCTTTTTGAACATCGTCATCGATATATTTTGATATACATGATTAATAAATATTGTACACAATAAACAATAGTGTTTACTTTATTTCACAAATATTACGATCGAGACAGCCGAATGGGGAGCATTGTTTCCGATCGCCATTCAATATAATAGACAGAACAGTTTTTAATCAGTCATTATAGCTGATCAATCATTCATCTGACAATAATATGGCAGATACTCGTTTGCTGGCCTTGCTGAACGATCTAATTTGGACAGGTTTAATTTAAAATTTTAAATAATAGCAAGTTAAGATAGGCAATACTACATTATATGTAATAAAAATCGTTTTACATGTAACAAATGTATAACAGTATATTAATATTTACTCAAGCTATTTAATAGTGTTTTTTAGCTTAATTTTCTAATAACCTTTTAATTAATGATTTCCCACATTTAATACTGTAGTAATTTATAGTAAGCAATAAATAGTTTTTAAACCAAAATTTAGCAATAGGAACAAATTAACTATTAATAATAAAAAATCATAACACATATATATATATATATATATATATATATATATATATATATACATATATATATATATATATATATATATATATAACATATATATATATATAACATATATATATATATATAACATATATATATATATATATATATAACATATATATATATATATATATTAGTTTAAAATAATGATTAACTAGTAGGATAATTTATTTTAAATTGACATATTATTGTTTGCTTTTTATATTTTACAACAAAGTGATTTTAACCAAGTATGATTATATTAAGATCCTGAATTAGTTTATTACACGTAATCCAACAATTAGACGGTCTATAATGTTTTCTTTGTTTATGTGGACACATGAATAAAGTCAGAAGTGTATTTAACCAATTATTTTTATTTACATAATTTGAGTTCAGAAACTGCAGAGATGTTAAAATGATCGTTACGATATAATAATAATAATGACTGAAATGGGAAACCATATTTGTGAAATTCAATAGGTGGCGATAATGCTAAAGATTTAGTTACCATATATGGTTTGCCTAAATCGTGTGTCCTAGATTGTGTGTGCCTAAAACGTGTGTGGTTCTGCGGGCCTGCAGCTGGATATTATTGGCTGTATGGGACGAGATCATCCGCATGTCTAGCAGGTATATAAGGTTTCCATACCATGCAGTTGACCAGCCAAACATTTAAGCGCAATTTGCAGCGATCGCCGGTTTTCCCAATCTAATCGGAGCGATCGACTGCAGGCACATTGCTGTAAAGGCGCCATCTGAAGACGAATTTGCATACGTGAATCAGAAACATTTCAATAAATGTGCAAATAATGTGATGCTCAAATGCGCTTAACATAATACAGACTTAACAATGATTCCAACTTGTGTTCCTCGTGATGAAGAGTAGGCAAAATCTGATATGTAGTGGGGGGATAAAGAAGAATGAGTTTATCGGTTGCTGGATTCGAACCAGATTCTTGATTGATAGTGTCAAAAGATGTTGCCATGCGCTTTACAAGCTACACCAAATTATCTCCAAAACGAAAAAATACTTGTATCATCAGCAAATAAATTCAACTTAACTCTGATATCTTAAAATATCAATAAATGTAAATTATAAACAATATTGGGCCTAAAACTGATCCGTGTAGTATGCCACAATTTACATTTAGACATAATGATTTATAGTCATCTACAACGCCAACAGCCAATTTCCACGAACTGTTGCCCATTTTTTAAATAGCTGCTTATCCAGTCCAAGGCTACTCCTCTAATACCATACCTTTCTCATTTATTTACCAATATATTATGATTTATTGTATCAAATGCCTTCTTTAAGTCTATAAAAATTCCCTACTAACTTCTCCTTTTTATCTTATTAGTAATTTCCTCAATAGTTTCTGTTAACGCCAGAGATGTTGATCTATTTTTCCAGAAACCATATTGCTCAGCAGCTAAAAGGTTATGAAGTACGAGACTAACTTATTAAAAAAATATTCAAAATAAAACATTTTTGAAAACTAAAATCACTTTTTTTTTTAAGTATGCCATAAAATAATCCAGGTTCTTATTTAACATGTTTTCTTGTTTGTTTGTTTGTTTTTTTACAATAAAACCAAAATCAAGTGTAGTAGTGCAACATGATTATATTTGTTTGATTTTTTTTGTAAACCAACAATGCTGTGTTTAAGCCGTTAATTAAAACAGTTTAAACATGGTCAGCTGTTTGGTAGAGGGGCAGTCAAAGGGTTAAGGTGTGCGTTCATGATTTCGGGAGGCGTGGCTTTGGACGGCAAGGGAGGGACTGTGTTTTCAAAGATATAATGCTAATGGGTAGCATTTTGGCAGACCACCTACTGCACCTTTAATGATAAATTGAGATCAGCACTGTGTGC